GGTACACGTAGTGATCGACAACTTCGAGAGTATCAGTTCCAATGACCACCGGTACGGGTGCAACATGGACATTCGACATGATTTTCGTCTTGTTCATGTTCATTTTAAGACCCACCTGATTGGAAACGATACTCAGGTCGCTGAGCATTGTACTGATGTGCTCCATCGATCTTGCCAAGATGACTATATCATCGGCGAAACGAAGGTGAGTGATGTATTCGCCATTGATGTTGATGCCGTATTCGTCCCATTCCAAGAGCTTGAAGACGTCCTCCAATGCATTCGTGAACAGTTTCGGAGAAATGACATCTCCCTGTCTCACGCCTCTGCGCAATTGGATTGGTTTCGTGCTCTCTTCCTGGTAGCGAATCGACATTGTGGCGTTGCTATACAAACGCTTCAACACTTCGACGTACCTGTAGTCGATTTGGCATCGTTGGAGGGACTGCAGTACTGCCCAGGTTTCGATTGAATCGAAGGCTTTCTCATAGTCCACAAACGCTAAGCAAAGTGGCAAATTATACTCCTCGGTCTTCTGTATAATCTGCCGCAGCGTATGTATGTGGTCTATGGTGCTAAAGCCTTTTCGGAAACCGGCTTGTTCGGGAGGCTGGAAGTCATCAAACCGGCGTTCGAGACGATTCGTAATGACCCTCGAAAACAGCTTATAAACGTGGCTCAGAAGCGAGATTGGTCTATAATTCTTCAACAAGGTCTTGTCACCTTTTTTGAAGAAGAGCACAACCACGCTTCTGTGCCACGCTTCTGGCGTCGTACCCTCGAGAATGACGGAGTTGAACAATTTCTGGAGGACTAAGAGTACCGGTTTTCCACCCGCTCGCAAAAGTTCAGTAGTGATTCCGTCATCCCCCGGTGCCTTATTGTTCTTCTTTAACACAATTAGATAATTTAATAATGGTCTGTTAGACTCAAGATGATTATGATTAAATGATAGTTAATATAAATTAATTCCTTAAATAACGTATTAAAATCGTTGAACGTGTTGTTTTTGGTAAATCCATGTAGAAACATAGAATTGGAAATTCAAAATTGTTTGGTTGAATGAATGTATTTAAAGCATATAATTGTCTCCTACGTGTAGTTGGCAGTATTGTGGTGACACAAAGTGCCATTAAAGTTAAGAAGAAGAAGTTACCAAAAGTCAAAAATACTTTAAAAATGCGTTTAGGTTAGGAATTTATGGTATTTATTAGTTTTTAAGTTATCAAAGGTGTGCATAGGTAAAGCCGTCCAAAGATACAAACTAGACCCTATAGATTATAAAATCCTACCTAGGGTAATTCAACCATTTCATGGAACTTGCACAATTTCACTTCTCCCCCGGGATCATTGTGATTGTGAACTGATATTGAAATTATTTTTATATTAAAAACTACTACTCTCGGTAGATATAAGTAATATTTACCAAGAGTACTGGTTCCATATCAAATGGAAATAGAATTGGGTCTAGTACTTAAGTTTTTTTTAATCCGAAATGATCAGCAATAATTTTACACTCGGTTATGTCTGTTCGATCTTTTACTACTGTCAATTGATGCCGTCTCGCATGTATTTAGCTATTATATATTCAGTGTGTCGAACTCCAGTTAATCTGTGCAGTTAATCAAGCACAGCGCTACTGTCACAACATAGAGGTTCAATTAAATAAAACAGGCTCCTTTTGGTAAAGGTTCAAGCTTTGGCAACGTTGTGCTCCACGTTAGAGTTCGAGGCTTATTTTATTACCGAATAGCAAAGCAGCTCCCCTCTCTCTTCGTCACTTCAGCAACGGCAACATGGGCGCCCTTGCTCCTTGTTCATTCGAGCGGAACGAAGAAGCTTTTAAATAATAAATAGAAATGTATGTTTTATGTTCGTCACAACTTGCAAATTGAATTTTAAACCAGTTATACTTAGGCAAATCTGACGGAATATCCGCTAAGCGTCTCACAAAAGTACAATAAGTATGTAGTACGGCATGTATTCTCATATTATAAAGAGAAAGGTTTGATTGTTTGACCGATTTCAAAAATTCTTTCACCTACAGGAAGCTACATTATATGAGGTGAATAAGAGCTATATTTTATCCCGAAAAACAGTAAATAAAAGGATGAAATGGGACTGAAAGTCTATATGGGGAATTAAAACATAATTTTAGTAACTTCTGTTTAGTACCTATTCAATTTTTCATTGTAATTATATACATGTCATGATATGTATCGATATCAAAATAAACAGTTTCCTAGGGACCATTCGGGCGAATCCGCTGGCGGAAAACTAGTATCATATATTTTGGATATGTTCCGATATACACTGCGACCACTGAACAGTATGACGTTAATTTAGTATACTGGAAGCCCGTTCCTTTATAGCTATACTGGTGACTCTTTAAAACGGAACGCAGTCCAGTATACTGTTAATCCTATTTTTTGGCGCCATTTTCAAATTTGTTAATGCAAGGTGAATATAAATATAAAGATTCCCTCTTTTCAAAAGAAAATTGGAAAATTGTATAAAAAATTATTTATTAATTAAATCCATCTTATCTTAAACGTAAGTATTTTTTTTTTGTTTATCTAGAAACTTATCATTTTCTGATTCTGTTTCGACTGATCACGTGATCAAAAGCACTGCGAACACCTTACCTCGAGATCTCCAGTGCTCACAGTACAAATATGGCGGCAATTTATGACGTCATAAATTTCCCTAGGGTACTGTAGCAGTGTACTGGCAGTCCATAACGGAACGGATTTTTCAGCAGTAAGACCACTGCGCAGTGCTCGCAGTGTATATCGGAACATACCCTTTGTCACTTCCGACATTCCGCGATAGGTGATACGAAATGTATGGTTTCGTCAGATAAGTGCTCTACTTTTAAGTAATACAGCTTTAGGATGGCTTTAGTTTACATATGCCGATGTAGGGTTTGCTTAGTTACACTTACGCAACAAATTGAAACACAATTTTTATAAGACATATCTGAATCGTCGGTCACGGGATGGGTGACCAAAGAATTATTATCTCGAGCTACTCCGTGCTTCAGAAGGCACGTTAAGCCGTTGATCCCGGCTGCCAGCATTGGGCCAGCGTTGAGGGTCATGGCCCATCCTCCTTAACCATCCATAAGGAAGGCCTGAGCCCCTGCAGTGGAAACGAAAAAGGGCTAATGATGATATCGTAATCACGTGAATAAAAACAAAATCTTCAGTATACAAAACTTTATTGTCTTCTCTTACAACTACGTTTAAGTAAACGTCATTTAGCGTTTCTGAGAGCTTCACAAGCGTCGGCCATCTTGAGGCCCTCCATTATGTAAAGGAGATTCTCCACCGACGCGTCTTCGTCATCATCGAACCACAATTGAAGCATATTCTTCGCCCTGGACGAGTCAGTTGCGTTTTCAGTCTCGAAGAATTGTATCTCGTCGTCTTTATAACCGAGTTTGGCCGCCAGTTTCTTCCAATCGGTGAGCTTTGAGGAGACCGCGTCTAGTTGAGCCGGTGATATCATAGTGAGGCGGTTGCGGGACGACTTATCGTAGTCCTCTTCACCTACGTGTGTCGAGTCAGGAACCTGGGAGGGAGAGGATTTTTATATCTAATTAGCTGTTTTACTGTATTGTACTTAATACGCTTAGGGGCCGTCCATTAATCACGTGAAGTTTTTTTCAACATTTATTGACTCCCCCCTCCCCCTTGGCGATATATGGTGAGGTTTAAGACTACGCCCCTCCCTCTACCCAAATCACGTGTATTTTTAGTATCAACAATGATCTTAATTTATGACGTCTATTTTCGGTTTAATAATTGCGCGGTTAGGAAAAAATTAATATACGTGATATAATTACTACACCCCCCACCTCCCTTATGATATTTCGTGATTTTTAAAGAACCCCTTCTCACCGTTTCAAGCCTCACGTGATGAATGGACGATCCCTTATAGGTTCCCGTAGCTGAAAGGATTTTAAAACAATCTAGCTTAACGCGCTCGCTATCGAGCGTGAAACATAAACGACAAATAAAACTCAAACTAAGCTCAGTCAAACAACTCTGAATGTGTTTAATAAAGCTTGAATCAACATTTGAAATTAACGATATTTTTTTAACCATTACGCGGAAAAACAATGATATGATAAACCGAATTATTACGGTTACGGTTAAAGGTTGAACCGAATAATATTCGGTTATTTGGTCAAACCACTATTCGGCGCATCACTGATGATATTCATGTTTTAAGATTAATATTTAACGAGTTTATCTTGTTAAAATTCTTTTTTTTGCAAATTACCTGTTCTATGTCATTTGCATCTCCTTCCTTTATGAGGTCAGCTTCTATTTGCTCCTCAGTGATTTCTTCATCTGTATTTTCCTAGATAAAGTTTTATATTATAAAAAAACATTGTTACTTTTGCCGTACAATTCCATAAAAACTTTTCTACTAACAAAATTTAATATATCAATGTCATTTTATCTTTCGAATTCCCACTTATAATATCGTAACTGTATCATAGAGTAAATTATATCATTTTACAAACTGGACAGTACAGTCAAAGGAAGACTTTGAAATTGTTTATATTTATGAGTGTGACATAATTATACAAACCGTGGGTGCACCAATAGCAAACCGATTAAGCAACATTTTGACTCAATTATTGCAATAAATCGTTGTTCTCCTTATTTAACATATTATCATGTAGCTTATTCAAATTTCTCCAATTGCTATGAAGTTGCCTTTTATAGTTTTTAAGTGGCAAATCGCAATGTGCTTTAGGTGGACCAGGTAATAGATATTATATGTATATATCGTTTTTAGTTATGATTACATGGTTGGTAGAAGTCCGAGAATTCTGCCAAAGGTAAAAAGTGGCGTGAAATCCAAAAAAAGTTTATATTTAGCTATGAAGATTGAAATGGCGAAATACCTGGTATGTGACTGACGCATCCACTCTATTTGATTTCATTTAGCATTGTACAGTTTGATTATAGTTGTTCGACTTTACTGTTAAGGTAGTAAAATGCAGTTACGATGTTATACGTCGCTCTGAATACTTACATGTTTGATGGTTTTCCCGTTATTGTTGGTCGCCGAATCACCATTGGAATTATTGGCGGCTGCGTTTGCTGCCACTTCGCGAGTTACACGCTCAACCTGAACGTATATAACAAAATCATAATACACTTTTTTACTGGTGGAATAATGAAGTTTGCGAGTGGCGTGCACGTCTGTTTCAACGTGTCGCCATGTCAAAGGGTTCTTGGTTGGGTCTTTCAAGGAAATTTTCTTTCGGGTCTGGTTGTTGTGGCAACTTCGTTTCAGATTATCATAATACAAGTACTTCACTACTTAATTTGGGATCTGAGAAGTGATTTCCAATAAAATAAATTTTTGGTCACCCATATTATGACGTGCCCTTACGAAAGTCGCTTAGAGTTGTGTATTGTAGTGTATTCTTAACCTACAGCGACTACAAAATCTTGTTTTGGCTCTATTTTTACAAATTATTTGGTTTTCACCCACATTTATCGTTAGTTACAACATAATCTGCTCATTCATCGACTGTTAGGCGGAACAAGGTTCGCCGGGTCTATTAGTATAATCACATGTAAAGAATTTCTCGTTTAAATGTATCAGATTAGATATTGTAGAAGTACTTCATAGTAAAACGATCAGTTATAAATGAATTAGATGAGGTCATAGTCGGGGCCCCTACCGGAGCCCACGCCTTTGCCCCAAAAGTAGGGGTACAACCCCCCCCCCCCCCCGCGTTTAGTGGGTGTGCCATTTGCGGTTTGACTACCTTTTGGGCAGGTCCGCGGTTATGGAGTCCACACAAACCTGTCGCCTATCAAGCGACGGCAAAAATAAAACACAAAATATAACCGACCAAGTGCGAGTCAGACTCGTGCACGAAGTGTTCCGTACTGAAAACGAGCCAAAAAAAATCACGTTTGTTTTATAGGATCCCTCTTAGATATTTATTTTTTTAGTATTCGTTGTTACAACGGCAACAAAAATACATCTGTGAAAATTTCAACTGTCTTAATATAGTAAAAAAATAAATAAATAAATATTGATAAAACTACAACTTTTAACTCTTTTAACGTAAAAAACATATTATTGAAAATTGTCAGTTGTGATTTTGTACTTTTGTCAATAGGGGTGTAGACAACTTTTTTTATAGATTATATACGAAATATATCTAAAAAATATAGTTTCAAAAGTATCATTCATATAGTAAGTTAAAATCTATAAATAAATTTAATTTTCAGAATTTCCCGCAAAAACACCACTACTGTCATGGCATAATTATGACGTCAAGGTCATCTGAAACTAATATCGTTCTATATATATATATATATAAGGTTGAGTTCTCTTAGTTCTGATACTGGATACAGTATAAAACATTTGTTTCTTCGTAATAAATTTAAGCAATATTACAAATATAATAAACATAAAAGTGTCATCATCGGTAATATTATCGCACGTTGAGAACGATAGTGACACAATGCAAAAATTGCGATTTGAGTAATGAGCGTTTAAAGTTCCAGAAATTGTAAGCAGCCACTCTAAACAACGTAACGTCACTACGCCACCTAGCTGTTTCTATGCAAGCTACGTTCACAAGGATCTTTGCATTTTAATGTTTAAAGGTAACAAAGAAAAATGTTGCCAAAAGTAAAAAATACGTCGTTTTTGGTTAGTGACATTGTCATTCTCAATGTGCGGTATATTTAACACTACCAGAAAAAAAAGTATTCGGCCCTGCGATTCTGTAAAAATCCAAATCCGAATTCGAATTTCACTCAGGTGTCCGAATTTAATTCAAAAAGCGGAATCAGCTCAATCTTGAATCAGTAATAACGTTTCGCGGCATAAGTGAAGTGAGTTTCGAAATGACATAGGAACAGAATATCTGAGACACGTATAATCGATCAATTTTAATTTGTATTTTTATATAAAAAATTGAATCAATAGAATTCCTGAAATGAAGTGAATTCGAATTCGGGTCTGGATTTTTACAGAACCGCAGGGCCAGGCTAGAACCAGGTGTTACCATATCGTCTAGATAGTCCGGCAGTCGTCCGATGGGATTGTTGGTGTGCACGAAGAAGTGCGGCGACCGTCGCGCGAGCAGCCGCAGCGCGCGCCACCCCCACCCCCCGCACGACGTGCGCGCCGCCCCCGCCCCCGCGCCCGCCCCCGTCGCCCCTCGCGCTCCCGCCCCCGCCGCCCCCGCGCCCCCGCACAGCATGTACGACTCTGGTCAAGACACGACCGTCAACGATCAAGATCACGAGTTCAAACAATCATACGATTTAAACTGTTCGAATAGAAAATTTCAGTAAGGATGCGCCGAATAGTTGTTTATCGGATACCGAACCGGATATTAGGCCGAATTATTCATATTGTTTACCGCTTCACTGTTTTGCCGCCTAACCAGCATGCTTATTTACGAACGCAATCGCGATCGATCGACATTGCAATTGTGCCGTTTCGTACTCTTTGATTGGGTACCATTGGGTAGAGTAAGCCTGCAGATTTAAAAACAAATGTTGATTCGAAATTTAATTGCTTTAGTTATTAGCGTTATTGAACACATTCTGCATAGAATTTTTTGACTTATATTTTATCATGTATCTTTAATTTTTTGAGACGCGCCTATTTTTGTTAGTTATTCGATGTATTTGACATCTTTTTCATTATTTGTATTTGACCGAATTAAAATAAAATAAATAAAGCAATCAAACTTCGAATCGAAATTTGTTTTTAAGCCTACTTACGCGGCAATACAGTGAAATGGTGATGGTAAACCGAATAATTCGGCCGAATATCCGGATCGGTAAAGGTTAAATGGAAGGCAATGCACGAATTGACTGGATGAAAAATTTTTTTTTTCAGTTCATTTATTTATATTGACACTAGAAATCCATGACGTTATTGTTAAAATGGTATCACAGAATAATATTTAAATGACAACTTTGATGACAGACAGGATTCATTTTGAAAAAATCAATTTTTAGGTCAGGATCGAATCTCGAGAAAATCAGCATAAAAAGATTAATCTACGATAAATCCGGACATTTTCAAACATATCCAAGAAACTAATTATTAATGATTTAATATTACATTGAATATAACTTGTAATGTAACCAATTCGGTTCGACGTGGATTGATTCAAAGATCATTTTTTTCATAGTGACCGACCGGTCACTCAAAACCATGTCCAAAGCGAAAGCTATATTGTTAATTATCAAAAATACATAAAATTGTACAAACCTAGTGAGGGCATAAAATTTCTCTCTTTAGTTCGGCATGCCGCTAAATTGTCTGGGCATAAATTCCACAGCTTTGTTAATTCATTGCTGAAATTAAAAATATATATTATTTCATTAGATTACAGCAAGATGCAAAGTTCAAAGCTTTAATTCTCAGTTATACTGAAATACTAATAGTAGTAAAATAAAACTGATTTATTTTGGACATGTCCATAATGTTAGTAACAGTTTACTTATAAGCTATGTTAGTTATTTTGTATTGAATTAATAATAATTATTATTATGAGACAGCTTTGTATCTTTGGCAAGATAGACCCAGGTCCAGTGCCGCATTATAAAATAGCACTGTCCACGTCCAGTCCAGTAGTTATATTAGTTTTCAAAGGAGAATGGGCACTTTAGTATTAAGTTTGACTAAGTATTGTAGCACTCTGGGTGATATATAATTTGAAAGGTGATATATAATGTGAAATTTGCCCTTTATCCTTTCGTTTCAACTTTAGATTATAGTGGACCCGCGGTAATCCGGTGCCTGTCTAATCCGGCGCCCTATGTAATCAGACATGCCTATAACTATTATATAATTTAACACATCTAATTATAATAATTTTCTCCAATTGATTTTAAGTTTTAATACATAGAGGATAAAAAATATACTTGCGGAAAGAATCCACTTTCCATACATTGATTGGCCTGTCACATGTTTTTTTAAGTTGCGTCTACCCACCGATATATATAATTTAAATTAGTTATTGCTTAAAAAAGAATAATATCTTTTATTTGAGGGCCAGGGAGAGTCGTAATTTTTGAGGTATACCTGTCAAAACTCGAGATAATTGTGAACTTGTTTTAAAAATAAATGCATTTCAATCAAATCTTTTTATTGTTTGACTCGTAACTATGGCTGAATGCATGCATGCGTTCATGATATCATCGTGCTCTGAATACGAGGGTCAAACTGAAAGTTCTTAGAACTGGCCACTTATAAACAATATAATAAAAAAATAATTCTAAAATTTGAAAATATAACTCTTTGCCAATATTACTGAGTATATATTTCATTCATTTGTCATTTGTTTTACGATTTGGCGGCAAATTGAAAATTGTCTGTGTCACGTCATCATGAATTTAACACGAGAAAATTTTCGTGCAATGATTTTTTATGACTTTCGATGTCATTTAAGTCAACAAGAAAGTTATGATAGACTACGATTGGCCTTTCACGATGAAGCCCCATCTCGTGCGACTGTTTACAACTGGTTTAATGAGTTTAAACGTGGTCGCACTAATCTCACTGATGATTTACGTGAGGGACGGCCTTCTACGGCGACGACTGAAGATAACATCTGTGTTGTGCGGCGTATGATAGAGACTGACAAAAGAGTGACCTATCAACAGATTCGGACAAGCTTAGGCATCGGTATGAGTCAAGTGCACAAAATCCTCCACGAACATTTAGCGGTCAGGAAGTTTTGCGCCCGGTGGATACCTCATAATTTGACTGAGGCTCAAAAACTCCATCGTGTGGATTGGTGTCGTAAAATGATTGAAAGATTTAACGGAGGTGACTCAAATGCTGTGTTCGACATACTAACAGGTGACGAAAGCTGGATTTACTGTTATGATCCTAAAACCAAAAGACAATCTGCTCAGTGGGTGTTTCCTTTCGAGGAGTTGCCAACTAAAGTGAAGAGAGATCGAAGTGCGGGAAAAAAAATGGTGGCCTCGTTCTTTGGAAGGATAGGTCATTTTGCAACAATTGTGTTAGAGGATCAAAAAACAGTTTCTGCAGAATGGTACACTACCAATTGTTTGCCACTTGTCTTGGAAAAAGTTCGAGAGAAACGACCTCGCAGTAGGATCCTCCTTCACCACGACAACGCCTCGTCGCACACCGCCAAGCGAACGATCGACTATTTGGCGACATCAAACGTTGAATTACTGGGTCACCCGCCGTATAGCCCCGACCTCGCGCCTTGTGATTTTTATTTATTTCCAAAAATTAAAGAAAAACTTAAAGGAAAGCGGTTTATGAATGCTGAAGAAGCGGTGGCTGCGTATCGCGATGCCATTGAAGAGACCCCTAAGGACGAGTGGGCAAAGTGCTTTTCCCAGTGGTTCCATCGCATGCAGCGGTGTATTGACGTGAATGGACAATATTTTGAAAAGATATAATAAAACTAATAACTGGCTAATGTAATCAGTTTTTGATTTTCTAAGAACTTTCAGTTTGACCCTCGTATTAACTTTAATTCGGTAGACCACTTTTTATGTTGTATTTGAAAAATATATTGATAAAAATTGATTGTTTTAAGGGCAAAAGATGTGAGGTGCTTCTTTTTATTTTGACATAGTTTCGTTTGAATAGTATTAAATGTGATTTTGTATGTAATTATAAAAATGAATCGCCGAAATTTATGTACGCTTCCTTCCGAATAACTTCCGAACGACTGCATTCAATTGGTTGATTCTTTTTATGTGTTCCTTACTGTCAGGTCAGAACAAGGTTTGTATTTAAGAAAATTTAAAAAAAAAAATCTCAGCCGCGACTGGAGAAATAAATATGGCGGTATGAAGTTAGCCTCGTCAGCTAAAAAAAATAAAACTGTTATCGCTTAAAGTCATGGGTCAAAGCGTATAAATGGCAATTGTTAGATAAAATGTCCTAGTTGGCTACTTGAATGTTCTGGGAAATCCAAATTTTCATATGATCATATTAAAGAACTATCAGATTTATTTTTCTCCAAAAAGTCTTACAAAATGAACGTAAAACATATTTTTATTCATTTATTTATGTCTCACGATAACAATCAGTCACGTGACATTTTGAACCGTGATGTCACATTTCACTAAACATGGATACTGGTTGACAAAGACGTTAACGTTCAGTTTATTGCAATGTGACGTCACACGATGCTTCGTCATTGACCACCCGTGTTACGGATCTTGTTATCCACAGATTATATTTTTTCCATATTAATCGCAAGTATGTTTTTATATAATTACCAAAATAAAATATAATTATAACAAAACAAAAATAAAAAATAATTACCAACGGAATTGGCACCTTTGTATTTTCTTTCATGACGTTTCAGACATCACGAAAGAAAATACAAATGTGCTGAAACCGTTTAAAGTTGTTTCATTTAATGAATAGTGCGCGTGAAAATATTAAAAATCAGTATTATTAAAATTTATTTTAAAACAAAAAATATCATATAGTTAATGTTTGTACATATTATTACAAATTACCTATTTCCAACATATTTAATAATTTATTGTTATAACTGTCCGGTGGCCAATTTTATATGTGTTTGCTTAGAAAACTTTGTACTAATTAGTGATGAAAATCAACAGATATTTGATTGATAAAAAATCACCCAATTAGAAAACTAGTGACGTCTATGTCATCTAACAGCCATTATTAATCAAACCATGGCGTTCCAAAAAGCTCAATTATTTTCGAATTATAAAACACTTACTTTCCCATGTAACTTTTTTGTTGGGCCTCATATTCTTTGATAATGTCTCCAACTGGACGCCGTCTTTTCCGCGATTTCTTTACCTCTTCATTGGAATCAGACTGTACTGGTGGCTTCGGTTTTTGGAATTCTACATGCCAACAAAATATTATTTTTAATATTATTATTGTTGATAGTACTCAATGGATAAGAAAATAAGTGAAAATATTGCTGTAAGTTAATAATGGTATTTGTTGCAGGCTTTTAGTTTTCTATTTATTCCAGTGTGATGAAGTTATTTTATCAATATAACAGTTTATCGGTCAAAAGTATCTAGATACGATTCCGATATGATTTTTATAGCAGCTCTACTTTTTAAGTTATGAAAGAGAAAAGTAATGTAAAACTGCAATTTCTACCATTTCTAAATACTGCTTTAATGCTTTGGCTTTGCTGCATTGATGGAACTTTGAGATTTTACAATACATGCATTTTGTTGAGTTGAGTAAAGAAGATATACTCAACTCAACAAAATTTCAAATATACGTGCTGTAATATATACTAAGCAAAAAAAAAATTTATAACTAGTGATAATATGTATTATGCTCATAAATTGTAACATGAATATCTGAGCATAATATACTTTGTAATTTGCACTATGGTCATAATTTACCTACCTGGACATCCATCATTTTTCCAATTATTCCAATGCTCTTCCCTTTTCAGAATGTGTTTGACACATTCAGCGAAACGCTTGCCATCAGGTGGAGTTTCCCCCAATAGTTTGTATACAAGAGTAGTAGTCTCTTTCACCCAATCTTGTTGGTCATTTTTCAGCTCTTGTGATTCCCTAGTGGTAATTAGAAATTGTTTATTAAATTAAAAGTGGCTAATTAAGAATTCGTAACTTTGCAACTCATCAATAACATGCAATTTACAAAAGCAAATATTGCACTCCTGCAATATTGCTACTTATATTGATATTCATCTCTCTTATGACTTCCTTGGACTTCCGACAGGAGAATCTAAAAAAAGTTATTGCTCCACACAAAAAAAAACATTCTTTAGAGATTTTCTATCATTACATCTATTTCAAGATGACTTCTAGAGTGGAGTAGCTCACAAGTTATTTTTAAGGTGTCACCATCTCTGAAGTGAAGATTTCTTATAGTGTCAACATAGGAAATTAACTACTCTATATGATATCAGGATCTGGGTGTTCTGGACCTTCATTGTTTCAAATTTTCGAGCTACAAGGTTTATACATTTTTAGCTTGTTTAAACAACTCCATCTTTAGACCTACCAGTAAGGTTTAAAAAAAGTAGAGTCCATATTCAAAAGAGCATTAAACAAGAGCAGTTTAGGTCAAATGTGATAAAGTATTAAAAATTCAATTACATTTTAAATTTAACAGTTGAGGTAAGGTACTGGAACAATATCAGGAATTGTATCAAGACACATCGTCTGAAGTTAGAATCGGACAATTGTAATTCCAGCAACTTCTGATTGGTAAGAAATTTGGCAAAATAATGTTGTTCTTTTGTTGATTCTTGCATTTCAACATCTGCGTTTACTGTTTTCAATCTGTTCAGTTTAGCTTTCTGTAGTTCGACAGCCTCCAACTTGTAAGATGAGAATGCGGATAGCACACTGCCCGAATGCTAAAATAAAATAAGAATTACTAATATAAGTGAAATATTGTTTAGAAGCATTATGGTCGGTCAGTGCAAATCTGATCAGCAAGGTTGAATGTCATATCATATATTTGTTTATTCTGACATTCTCAATCTCATAAGAATGACACATTTTCCATCAAATATACAGATGACGCCAAACAACTTGAACAAAGTGTGGTGGTGGGGGAAAGTTTGCGCATGTACACTTACGAGCAAAAAAACCTATGCATTAGAATTTCTTATTCCTACGTTAACTATTTATTTCTGTATTTTTTCTGTCCTATTTGCATGAGTGACTGAGTGGTAAACGTGCACACGAATGATACACGTGAAGTAAGTAGCTGCGTGTATAGTAGTAGTGAGAAATTACGAGCCTCCGATGTCTGTTTCATTGTTTCAAAATCGGATGTTTCTTCTTTCTTTAAAAAGCAATACACATCGTATACCATCTTTCTGGCTTGCCTTTTTAAAACTGTGTTTGATTGTCGACGAGACATATTTTGAGGTCGTGATGTTATTGCCTGCAAGTGTACTGAAGTAGCGATGAGACGTGAACACAAAGCGGGAAGCGATGGTTGACTGATCCACCAATAGCGTGGATTGGCGCGGTCGATGCGATCCTACTTCCGCACGCCGCGCCCCGCACCGCATACCGCGACGCCTAAAATCGGTTTCTGCGCATGCAAGGTCATTTGTTCAAGTTGTTTGGCGTCATCTGTACAGAGTTATACAAAACTAGCTGTTGTTTTGCAACTTTATATTATTATATATATAGCCAATGTCAACCCTGTATGATGTAGCTACCCATAGGTGAAAGAATTTTTTAAATTATTCCAGTAACTTCGGAGCCTATTTGATGCAAGCAAACAATTAAATATATGAAAATAAAATTGATAATATTTTGACATCACAAAAGTACTTATTAGTTAATACTAAAGAATGTTCAAAAGAAAGGTAATGGTAAGAAATTACTAAATGACGAATGCTTAAAATCTCCACCAGCAAAAGGTATATTATTTAATAAACAGAAATTACTCACTGCAACAAATGTTTTCCATTGCAATTTATTATAACATGTATTTGGGTTCCTAAAAAAGTCTTGCAGACTCCAAAATCTACAATATAGATTATAATCAATGGTCAACTTGTTTTTTTCATTATCTACCACCATATCTTCTTCCAATGAATCTTTAAGATTACTAGAATTATCACCTCCAAATTCTGTTACATTCTCCAAATTAAACTCTGATACAATATTGAGTCCAGACCGTTCAGAGAATGGGAAAAATTTTGCAAGAAACAGTAATATACGCCCACAAAAAACTGTGTTTTGTGATCGTGATAATCGTCTTAGAAGATCATTGCACATACGTAACAGGTTATTTTTACATGCCACAAAGAACAGTTCTTCCTTCCAAATGTTAACTCCATTTTCAACATAAGTGAACATCTTTTCACACTTATTCAATGTAAGTGCATCAAATATATCACCAAGGAGAACAACTGGCATTGTTGGTGTCACCATCTGCCGTCTACATGACTCTATACAAAAACAGACATAGTTTTCTAAAGTATCGGGTTCTTCAACAAGTAGTTCCAATAATTTGTCCCTGAAAGCTTGATCCATAGCAGCTTTTCTATCGACTTCATTGGTGTTTTTGGTAAAAGAATCAAGCAAGTCAATATTGCTTGTAGCAAATGCCTTAGATAATACATCCTGAAAATAAAAATATTATTAAACCACAAAAGGTGATGAACCGAATAAATTAAGCTTACTTGGTTATGAAATAAGTATTGACCTTAAATTTAGTCCGAAGCTCTTCAAAACCTAACTTTTCTGACATGATTATTCTACATGTACAAATACGTTTTATAATTACAAAACTTTTTTAAGCTTGTTTTTGAAAACAACAAGAAATGATAACCAGCGTCTCCTACTTCGTTTTTAATTTATGGCCTATTTGCGTTTACACGATTTCGCCAATGTCATGTTAGTGGCCTTTACACGACTTTACGTGTAGTTAGTTATCATATTTTTGTAAATGTCTTTTTAGCCAATAATAAGATAATTTGGAATTTTTATATATCAAAATTATAAAAAAAAAACAAAACTCTAAGAACATCTATCTAATAACAGATTTTTTATGCATATTACGCTAGCATATCCTTCTTTGCTTTTACGTTTACATTGCATGATTTCGTCAATGTCACGTTGGTAGCCATTACATGCAAAGAGAGAAAGCAGGTAAAAAGTGAATGGTATTTTTACGATATTTGGAAAAAATACGGTGTTGATATAAATAAACAGAATATACATATAACCAAAAGGTTGTACGAAAAATCAGTGTGATCGAAAAATTTTTTCAAGTGACTATCGAATGGGAAAATAATGGCTAAATTTCTACCTCAATATCTATTTAGAGTTGTAGACTAAATATTTTGTAATTTATTCTGTAGATTGTCTATAATATATTTTAGATAAAAAATATATCCCAAATGCTATAACTGTAGCTATATAAATTTAACAAGGGAAACACAGCTTGACTCATAAAGAGTTCAAAAATATTGAGGGCGCGTCTATCGCTTTCATAACAATATTTGTATTTGCTATTTACATTAAAAAAGATTTAGTAGTTCCTTTATCATTATAAGGGAATTAAGTCATAATAAAATAAAGATTAGCAAGCCGTTAGTACTGAAACTTATAAAATTCCTAACTACAGTGGGAACTTTATAATAGAAATATTTGACAACTCTCAGACAACTGAGAGATTTCAAATGTGACTTATAAATGAAGAAGTATTTAAAAAAAAACGAAAGCACTAAAAAAGCACCTCCGCTAGATGGCGACTCTGGCAAAAGTTGATTTTTGCAGGAAACGAATGGACCAAAGACAGTCATTTCCGTTCCTTTTAACTAACATAATAAAAAACTAAAATTTGAAAAGTTCGAAACCTACAATACAAAATACGAAAAAGTACAAATAGAATATGAGTTGTTTATTGAGTTTTGAAAACTAATTTACTTTTAAACATAAAAGAAAACCGGAAGTTTTGTCATGGCGAAATCAAGAATGTACCATAGCGACATCTAGTTGGATTTCGGGAACTAATTTTTTTTTAAATATTCCCTCATTGACTCGATTCATTCGAATTCAGAGTATGGAATAAAAAACAAAAAAGTCGAGTGCATAATTCAGTTTGTTTTTTATGTGCAGTATTTCCACATATGCCATTATGCATCTACACGTCGAATTATATTAACATAAATATAAAAATCTGTTACATGATAACAGTCTAGGCTGTTACATTGTACTTGTGAAAGTCGAAAACTATGCCAACGTTCGCGAAACTAAGGCGGAAGACTTTTTCTAGAGTCGCCATCTAGTGGAGTTGCTTTTTAGTACTTTCGATTTTTTTCAAATACTTCCTCATTCAAGTTACGAGCAACCAATAAAATGGCTCATCACTAATGTTGACATTTGAACCAAACATCGTTCAACGTCAAAGTCAAGTCAAAGTCAAAATCTTTATTCAAATAGACTTCTTAAGTTGGCAGTAATGTGGTGACGCATAGTGCCATTAAAGTTAAGAAGAAGAAGACTTCTTAAAAGTATTTTGAATCGTCCAACATTTTTTTCCTTACCGGACGTCTTTTGGCTGATAAGAAGAACGAGCAAGAAACTCAACAGCTCTAATAAGAGTAATGACCTTTACAAAAACCATGTCATTACCAGATCAATATATTATAAACAGAGAGAGAAAAAAAGCTATGGTCTTATAAAGATAACATAATCATTTAATAATAATGGAATCAAGATAATGAGTTTAGAAGTAATAACCTATCCAGTTGCTGGATTATCTCAAGTCCAAGCGTTCTTATCTGCTATATAATCGGATACCTTATAATAAACTTTTTTAATAAGTATTTTTTTAATAGTAGATTTAAACTATATGATATCTAATTGTTGTATTTTGCTTGGAACTCTATTGTAGAAGCGTACACAAAGACCCCTGAATGAGTTACTAACTTTTTGCAGTCTAGTGACAGGCACCGTTAATTTATTTTTATTTCTTGTAAGTTGTGTACATCACTATTTATAGAAAACAAACTAATATTTTTACGAACGTACATTAAGTTGTCGTATATGTATTGAGAAGCAACAGTCATAATGTCTATTTCCTTAAATTTCTCCCTTAAAGAGTCCCTAATCCTAAGATTATAAAGGACATTGCTCAACGCCTATACATTGGTGGCCCCAGAGCCAAAAAAAAACATAAAAAAATACTTATTTTATTGTGTGTCACTAACTAATTCTCATTATGTATTTATTATACCGCGACCGAGTTTTAGAACTTATTATCACGCAAAATATAATTCGTTTTGAAGTTATAATTTGTTTAGAAAACCACCAAGAGATGGCACTCTAAGTACATGATATGATATTGATGTCTATATTGTCGAAGCAAAAAACTCAACTTTAAGAAAATCGGTTTTTCGTTGTGATTTGTAAAAGTTTCTAAGTCAATCAATAGACAAATAAATCATTCTAATAGTTAAATAATATACCTATTAATAAGCTTAAAATTTACATCAAAAGATGGCGCCTTAAAGACATAAATGACATGATGTTAATATGTTTACGAGAAATATAAAGGTAATGTAATAGAAACAAAGTAGTTTTTAGGATATGTCGTATGAATATCAATCTTTCAGAATAAACAAGAGTTAATTATCAACAGTTAATGAATTTAGTTTGTATGATATTCAGTTTTTATGTCCTTATGTTTTAGTTGGAAAATCACCAAGAGATGGCGCTTTTAGTAAATTTAAGGTTATTTTCGGTCAATTTAATTTAATGTTTTTGTGTTCGATGATTTAAAGGTTATCTAATAAAAATAAATGATCTACTTGATCTGATGTGTAAATTACATCCGACTCAATGGAATTTAAGTATATTGAATGTGAATATTTGCGAATAAAAATGTTACTGTTAAAGTACTTTTAAATATTAATTTTGGATCGCAGCTTGTCCGTGTCAAATAAATATTTGATTCCAATTTAATAAATAAATTAGTAATTATTATTGAAGTATTAATATTTAATGGTATTGGGGCCATTTTCGGCGATGTACTTTATCTAATTGCTTTTTTATGAAGCAAAAAAATTGTTTGTGTGTCAGCAGCATTTTGTCGGAGCCCTGCGGATCACCCATCCTAACTTTCGATCCAGGAGATCTTTTGCCATTAATATCAACCCTCTGTACTCTGTCAGTCAAGTATGAGACAATAAAATCCAATGATTTGTTCAAAAATCTTACTAAACGTAGGTAGCACGGATATAAGTCTAAAGTCAGTAGGGTCAGATGTGCTACCCGATTTATGTAAAGGAATAATTTTACTATATTTCATGAGCTCAGGAAAAATACCACAATCAGTACATCCATTAAATATATAAGCTCAGATTCGAGCTATTGTCTCAATTACCGATTTAGAAACTTCAATGGAATTACCCCATAAATCAGCGGTTTTCTTTTTCTTTTAAAATCAATGTGTTGAAACTTAAATTGGCTATAAGAATTATTTAAACTTGCCTTTAAAATAGATTCAGCAACAGTGGAAGAGGAATTCAAAGATTGTGTAATTAAGACTGGAATTTCAGTAAATAAATTTTCAAATACTGTAGTAACTTCAAGATCTGATGTTACTTTTTTATTATCAATGTTTAAATTAAATTAATGTTCCGGGATTTTTCTCTTCCAATTTCACTATTTATGATATTCCACGTCATTTTAACTTTATCTTTACTATTTTTAATTTTTTAATTTAAATAATGATATTTGGCCAAACGACACATTTTTTAAATAATTTAGAGTAATTTCGTACACATTCTTTGAAGTCTTCACTTGTGTTATAATTACTTTCATCATATAGTTTATAGAGCGTTTTTCTGCTTTTGTGGATTCCTGGTGTAGCCCACACACTAAAAGTTATAGGATTACTAATACTAATTTTTTTTGGGACAAAAATGTTTTTGAATTCTGTACAATAAACATTAAAGAAATCTTTGTACAAATCATTGGGATTACTATTATGTTTCAAATGATACAATTTACTATCATATTGATTTTTAAAACGTTCCAAGCGACTCATACTTTTTGACACAACTGTAATGTCTCTCCTAGCCACAAACGTACATTTATGCGGAAAGCTAATTATTTGTCCAAGATGATCTGACGGTAGTTGTTAATTATCTGTGAAAGTGGTACCAGATCTGTAAAAATGTTGTCAATACATGTGGATGAAGTAGCAGTTACTCTAGTAGGCTCCTTAAACATGTGTGCAGGATTATAGGACATAAATAGATTTACAAGTCTTGTACATGAATTGGAGTTTCCTAATAAATCAACGTTAAAATCACCCCCAATCACTAATCGTTTGCCTTTGCTATATACCTTTTGTAAAGCTTCATTCATAACTGTTTCAAAAAGATCATAATGAGAAACTATACTTGCAGGAGGTTTATATACGCTCAGTACAATCAGCTGGTCCAGCTCTATGCAGGCAATTTCTATTATTTTCTCAACCGATAGGCTCGCTTTATCTCTACGCTCTTTAAATTTAAACTTTTTATTTAATAGAATTAGTGCGCCACCATGCATTGCGTTTTTCCTAATGAACGAGCTACCAACCAGGTGATTATTGAAGTTAAAAAGTGCAATTATAACTTGTTCCTTTACACGTAACATAATAAACAACTTAAACTTACGATTAAAATAAATTTAAAGGTTAGATATTTAGGAACCGTAAGGTTGAATGTGTTGGTTCCTACTTGATGATGGAGACAACTGGCCAGGGAGACTAAAGGATAATTGTCTCCCTCCGAGCTAGGTGTTGTTAGCCCGGGGACCGTGGTCCAACCGATGTAGGTTGGACGTTCTATTTATGTTAATTGGTAATTA